CAAAATTTAGGAGAATGAACATGATTTACATCTTTCTAGATCCTATTCCATTCCATTCCACTCCCTCAAATGTGTAGACATGCTTTATATCTTGAGCTCTGGATATTATTCTGTATTCATATGAAAAAGTGGGCTTATATAAAAAAAGATCTCATGCTAAAAGAAATACCAGTTAGTCTTAAAGATTCCATGATAATTCTTTTATTCCTCTCTCAGGGGGGTTGAAGACTGCCAGAAATAGTGCAAATTGAGTCCACTTTTAGTGTTAGGGTTAGGGAATCATGGGGATTGTAGTTTATTGTGGCACCAGAGCTCTCTAACAAAGAAGGCTCAATGTCTCAGACAAAAAACAATTCCCATGATTCCCTAGCACTAACCCTAACCCTAAAAGTGGATTCAATTTGCACTATTTCTGGCAGTCTGCAACCCCCCTCATTCTTTTCTTCCCTTTTTATGGTAACTGAGAGCATGAATGACTAGGATTCTCATCATCAAATGTAAGCCCTTTTCAGATACATGTAAATCTCTATGTATGAGTTCTGGTTAGGCTAGGTGGGCATGGGCTGGCAACTATTGTAGATTAATGGCTCCATTGGCCCCACAAGCCTCTTGCCCCCAACCTAGACCCAAAATTGATTTCTACCCTTAAATCTCCCCCAGGCATATCAAGGCAATTTTACCATGCTTTTGTCCCTCTCTGGGCTATTTGGGGCCTGGGAAAGGCCTTTATCTTCATGGGAAGTGACCCTAAAGGCAATGTTGGGGATCTTGGAGAAATAAAATGGCTCTTAATGCCACATTCATTACATAGGTTGTACATTTTTATCCCAGATCTTGAGAGTGAGATTAGCTCACACATTCTTGGTAGTCCCTTCACATGTGTGATGCTTACTGCTCATGAATAGTTCATGAGCATCTTGTTTGAAGGAAGCAGCAGTTAGGCCGCTTCTGAAAAAACCTTCCCTGGACCTCCTGGATATGAACAACTATAGGCCAGTTTCCCTACTACCATTTCTGAGCAATGTAATTGAGAGGGCGGTTGCTCTTCAACGCCAAGCTGTCTTGGATTAAACCAATTATCTAGATCAATTTCAAACTGGCTTTAGGATGGGATTTGGAGTTGAAACTGCCATGGTTGCCTTGGCCGATGACCTTCGTCTGAGCATCGACAGGGGGAGTGTGACCCTGTTGGTGCTTCTAGACCTCTCAGTGGCTTTCGACATGATAGAGCACAGCATCCTCTTGGATCGCCTGAGTGGGTTAGGAATTGGAGAAACTTCGTTGCAGTGATTCCATTCCTTCCTCTCGGATAGATCCCAGAGGGTGTTGCTTGGGGACAGTTGCTCTGCATAAAAGGAGCTCACTTGCAGCATCCCTCAAGGTGCAATTCTGTCCCCAATGCTGTTTAACATCTATATGAAGCCTCTGGGAGAGTTCTTCCAGAGACATGGAGCTGGGTGTTACCAGTACACTGATGACACCCAGATCTACTTCTCCATATCTTGGTCATTGGCCTCGGCTCCCGATGGCATCTCTCCTCTCAATGACTGTCTTAAGGCAGTAATGGACTGAATGAGGAAAAACAAATTGAGGCTGAATCCAGACAAAATGGAGGTGCTCACAGTAGTAGCCCCAAAACCAGGAATAGGGATACAACCTGTAGTCCTGGATGGAGTCACACTCTCCATGAAGGACTGTGTTCACAGCCTGGGGGTGATCCTGGACCCGTCGTTGCAGATAACCAATCAGCTGAATGCAATGGTCAGGAGCGCCTGTTATCAGCTTCGGCTAATGCACCAGTTGCACCCTTTCCTGTAAGTAAGGGACCTTGAAACTGTTGTGCACATGCTGGTAACCTCCCATCTTGATTTCTGCAATGCACTCTACATGGGGCTACCCTTGTGCTTGGCCCAGAAACTACAATTAATACAGAATATGGCAGCCAGATTGGTCTCCGGAACATCAAGGAGAGACCACATAACCAGTATGCTCTGATGTTTTAATTAATAGTTTTTAATGCTGATATTAGTTTAATTTCTTTTTAACGGGTGGAAGGGTTTCAGGATTTTTGGAGTTGTATTTTAATATATCGTATGGAATTTTAACTGCTGTAAGCCACCCTGATTGTCTGACAGAGGGGTGGGATACAAATAAAATTTATTATTATTTATTATTATTATTATTATTATTATTATTATTATTATTATTCCTAAATACAGAAGTTTTTAACAGGTTATTATTTTTTTTGCAAATGGCAAAGTTTTAGAGGGGCAAAGCAGGATAAGTGTATGCATATACACACACACTCATATGTATCAAAAAATAAATACATCAGAGGCACGAGAGTCATTATTACTGAGAAAAAGATCAAGGAAGATTCTATTTTGAAATATTCTATTTTCAATAAGTAGTTTGATTAGCCTATTTTGTGTTGGTTTTTAAAACTATGTTTGTTCTGGTTGTCTACTGAAACTCAGTATGTAATTTCCATATCTGAAAGCATCTTGGAAATGATCTGCATGAGCATGAGTCTCCTGAATTTCAATTTCACCCCAGTTAGTTCAGGAGGAGAGACAGGAGAGAATTAATCAATAGCTGTTCCTTGGTCTATTTATCAAAACAAGAAGGCCAGGATTAACACATTTTGGGCCGTGATCTGATTTGCAAGAAGTTTCCAACAGGAATTCTGTTTTCAAACTTCGTAGAGAATTAGACTTTTTAAAACAAGTCTCAGCACTGTACATTTCCTATAGATTTCCAGTTTAAAAATAAATGTATTCATCCATCACTGCTATCAGTTTTGTGTAAGGTAGTTGATAACAACATTAAAATGGCTGAGGATCATTAAAGCTTCCTTGAAAAAGCAGATTCCTACTTTTCTTTTGTATAATATTTGTCCAAACTGGGAAGGATGAGAGGCAAGTCATCCAAAGTAAAGGAGAGTAAACCACCACAACAATCCCGATATTCTTGGTAAAGGTTGTTCCAAAAGAGCTCACTATAGCAAGGACAGACAACCGCTGATTTTAGAGGAGAATCTTCTGCCCCTGAAACCCTCTGAAACCCCCAAATATCCCCAGAAGTGACCAGCAATCCACTTCCAGGTCTGAAAAAAAGAAAAATATCATGATGTTAAAAAGTGGATGGGTGGGTGGGTGTGGTATTCAAAATGTGATTTGCTGCTCCTGGAAAATTTTAGGACAGGTCTTTAACCTGTTTTTTGATCAAAACAAGAACAACCTGGAGGTGCTGAAGGTCACTCTCTCTCTCTCTCTCTCTCACACACACACACACACACACACACACACACACACACACTCACACTCTCTCACACACACAGTCTTGGGAAAACTGATTACATGGTTCCAGTGCACTTATGTCACTCCTGCACTAGAAGATATCTGGTTTCAACATCAAAATAAAACATAGAAGTGTATTATATATTTTAGACTTAGGAACAAACCAAACTGGGAGAATATGCCAGCTTCCCGGTGACTTGGAGATATTGTATATACACAACGTATGCCACTGGAAAGCCACTGTGAAGCTGCCCAATTGACTACACAGTGGCAGCTTTTCAGCACTTTGGCAGCACAGTGTTTACACACCACACATCACAGGAGTGCAGAAAAAGTACCACCATGGTGAAAAAGGTGGCTTTTTCCCAGTCCAGTTTAATCCCAGGAAAATGTTGGGTGGGGAATGTGGTGTGCGGTTGCCACAGCCCAAACCCAGTGCTCACAGGAGCGGCATCATCCTACCACTTTATGGCTATCTGTATTGACCCATTGTCTTCTACACTATGTAATGTGTATGCAGCTAGCACACTTTTTTAAAAAAAGAAAAGGAGAGAAGAAAAAAGAGGGTGGACTCAGAACACTCATCGACTTTTAATTGTACTTCATGAAATTTTGTTAAAAGAATGCAAAGAATTTGGGCTAGTTCTCACCCATTGTTTTTCTCATTGTTACAAAACATCTAAAATCTGAACATTTTCCTGGAATGAAGCAAGCCACATTTGGTGTTAGCTTTTCCCAACATGTGGCAGAGGATAAAGGAATGGGAAGCAAAAGCATTGGGTTATGGAAAGGCCTTGCCTACACATTATAAGAGTGAAGAGCTTAAGCAAAATCTCAGGTAGACTTTCCCAGTCAGAACTGTCCCAGACCCTGAAAATTCAAAGCGAAAACCCAAGATTTAGGGATAATCTCCTTGTGATGCTATAGAGCAGGGGTTAGCAACCTATGGCCCCTGGGCCGCTTCCGGCCCAGGTCGACGGACTTACCGGCCCAGGTGGACCCCTGCTGCCACTGCCATCGCCTCACGTTTTCCTCTCCATGCAGCCATGCGCGTCACAGCCACCATTTTGATTTCCAAAATGGCGGCCGCAACGCGTTTGCACATGTGCAGGAGTACTGCTCATGCGCAAATGAGTCATGGCCACCATTTTGGAAAACAAAATGGCGGCTGCGAGTGGTGGTCGCTATTTTGTTCTCCAAAATGGCGTCTGCGACTTGTTTGTGCAAACAAGTCATGGCCGCCATTTTGGAAATCAAAATGGCAGCCTCAACATGTGCGTCAGCAGCGGCTGCGCATACTGCAGTGGGGGCTGCAGCGGCAGCGGTGGCAGCGAGTGTGTGGGGGTCATGCGCAGTGGAGGGGAGTACACGAGCGTGAGTGCACACGCCACCATTTCCCCCCCTCGGCCCGGCGGAGAAGAGGACTTTGGGGGACCGGCCCAAGGATGAAAAAGGTTGCCTACCCCTGCTATAGAGTAATGGCTCTTGCAATGTTCAAAGGCTGATATCCTGGTGATGTTATTAAGCATGATACTTTAATCATCAACCACATTTTCACAGAGTATGGCATTTGAGTATGGTTGATGTTTAACACATTATGCTTAATGACATCACCAATGCCCACTCTTTGTGACATCATCCTTGTAATAATGCAAAAGTCGTCCCTCACTAACAACACATAGAGTATACTATTCAAAGTGAGACAGTGTGGTGCAGCAGTTTGAGTGTTGGACTATGACTCTGAAGACCAGGGTTCAAATCCCTGCTCAGCCATGGTAACCTCTTGGATTGCCTTGTGCAAGTCAGATTCTTTCAGCCTCAGAAGAAACAGATCTTGCAGCACCTTTGAGACTAAGGGGGGAAGCAGATGGGTGGCCGTGGAGCGCCCCGGGAAGCTGCGCTGCGGGGCCGAGGTATCCCCACACCTCAGCCCCACGGCACAGCTTCGCCACCCCTGAAAGGAACACTAGATTGGCATTCCTTTCACAAGTCGCCGAAGGTGCACTGCAAAAGGCTGCGGGGGTGACTCTTCTGCCACAGCGTGTGCGAACACTGCGGTGGGAGGTCCTCCTCAGAGTGCTGGCCGTGCGGAGGGCTGGCTGCTCTGAGGACAACCTGGGGAAGGGGTTGGGGCGCCGATCGTGCGGCTGCCCCTCCCCTTCCCTGCCCCCAAAATGGCTCAATTAGCCATCTGCTTCCCCCCTAACTTTGCCAAAGAGGTTGTAGCATAAGTTTTCATAGGCTTAGGTCTACTTCTTCAGATGCATCGAGTGATCTGGTGCCCAGAAAGAAATTCTATAATTAGACTGTATGAATAGCCATAGAAATGCAAAACTTTTGGGCATGGTGATGAGGTAAAAAGTTCAGTTTTAGCAATGGTTGTTTAGAAAGAAAGGCAGGAGGAAAGATGTTGCCTGAGACTAGGGTGGGTGGATGACCATATGAATGGTGAAGTGGTTACTGAAATGTGTTGCTTGCAGGATGGGAACTAAAAAGGAAATATAATAATCTGGATCAAAGTGTCCTCATGATGCTGGAGTGTTAGCCCATGTTCTAATAAGTGTAGTGTTCCAAGAATCCATTGTCCATGTTCAACTCACTGTTGATGGATTAGACTTTGTGGATCTGTTCCAATTCAGCAGTTTCTCTTTCCAATCTTCCTTTGTAGTGTTTTTGTTTTGTTCAAAGACCACTGTCCTAAGGTCAGAGATGGAATTGAACAAAGAACAATTGAAGTTTTCTGCAACAGGTTTTGTGTATTTCCATTCCTAATATCTGTTTTATGTCCATTTGATGATCAACCATGAAATAACGAGACCAGACACGTATATATGGGAAAATAAAGGGCCATTTATTTGACCTATTCAAATACTAATAAACTTGACTTTTTGGGAAACTACAAGAAGGGGGAGCATCCTGGTGCATGTCCAGCTGGAAAACCAGGTGTCACCAAGTGACCAAAACCCCTCCAGCCTACCCTTTGGCAAAACACCAGGCCCCAAGGTAAATTCAAAATATTGGATTGAACTCTTGATCCAACCTATTGGAAGGCAAAGATAGGGCACTCTTTCCCAAAATCCCATTAGTTTGTAAGAGAGAGCAACCCCACCCCATGTCAGCCCCAAAGGCAGTCTCCTTTCCAACTCCCAGGTCCTTTGACCTGTAAAGGCTGTCCCAGAGCCCAGCCTTTCACCCAAAGGGGGTGCCAAGGGTGAACACCAAACTATTCATATTTTCTCACATTGCTGCCCCTTGGTGACAATGACAACATCCTATTTAATGACTCACCAAGCCATTAAATAGTTGACAGCATATAGCTTATATCATATTAGAGGATGAGCAAGTGAAAGTGCCTCTGATAGTGTGGGTTCTATTAATAGGTCCTGTGATGACATTTCCTGAGTAGATGTGTGTGCAGAGCTGGCATCTGGGTTTGTGGCAAGGTCTTGTTCCCGTCTCCCCATCTGTGTTGTGCATTCTTTGATAAGTAAGTAACTGAGATTTGGAGTCTATCTGTAGGCAAATAGAGGCCTTGCACCAAGAGCATTTGAGAGGGCACTGTTATTAACCAAGATAGGTTGCATTTCAGTGATGATATGTCTGAGTGTCTCATTTAGGATTGTATGTGACCACTAGTGGGATTCTGTAATTTTTTGTCTTCAGTCATTTCTATACAAGTCTTCTCCCTGGGTACAAGTCTTCTCCACCATGTAACGTGTATACAACTAGCACACAGGTTTTTGTTTCTTTTTAAAAGAAAAGATGAAAAAGAAGAGGATGGACTCATTGAACACTCACTGACTTTTAATTGTGCTTCATGAAATTTTGTCTTGCCCCCCCCCTTCATATGGTGAATACTGCACCTGGAGGAATGTTGTTGTAATTCCATGAGTTTGGTCCTGTGTGTCTGAGCAGATACAATTGTATCAGAGAGCTTGGCTGTAAACTATGGATTTGGTAGTATGCTCAGGGTTGAACATGGAGGCATGTAAGTACATTTAACCATCAGTAGGTTTACAATAGAGGGTGGGTGCTCAGATGTCTGTCCTGCAGCTATATGATGGTATTCAGGAAGTGTACTTGTTATGTAGATAGTTCCAGGCTTAGATTGATGGTGTCATGGAAACTGTGGAAGGCAAAAGCAAACCTCTTCTGAACAAATCTTACCAAGAAAGCCTTGTGATTTCCATCCCTTAGGGTTGCCATAAGTCAGAAATAACCTGAAGGCATACAACAATAATACCATTCAAATTAAAAATACAAGATCTAACAAATGAAGAACACACAAACACATGCTTTTTAAGGCATCACTCTTGTCCTGAGATTCTACCACTTCATCCTGAGGACTGGAGAAGAAGGCCAGGCCCTGAGCTCTGGCACTCCAAGATTTTCTATATTCTCTAACTTTTGAAATTTCCTTCCCAACATCAAGTCCTCTAAGTGTATTTAAAAATAATATTTGGAAATAAAGACTATCTAGCACCATATTAACACTGTAGCTGAAGATTTTTGTACACTATGCTGGCATAAAGATCTATTACATTAGTGTACTGCATTTTCACCCATGCTTGGTAGTCCTGTGAAGAAGTTACTACTACTATTACTTGTTAACATATGTTAGCATATGTCATTTTTTCATAGAATTTTGGACACATGTGGTGTTCCCTCTATGACCCCAAACTGACCTCTGAGGAAGGTCACCCATAATCCCCTAGATGGCAAGTCATGTAGGCACTGAGAGATCTGCCCAGGAATACTGGAAAATTCCCTACCAGACAGATTTGGGAGTTGCCAAAAGGGAAAAACCATTATATTGGAAAAGACATATAATAGTGCTTTTTTGTTTTGAGTCTCACACTTAATGGGGCAGTGATCAGATTTGACTGAGCTCTTTTCTCTAGTCTCCCTTCCTTGATAGTTCCAAAACCAAATGCATCATTTAGACTATCCTCACACCTAGCTAAGACTATCAACGCCTTTGTCCTGGCTTCAGCCAAGCCGTTTAGCCAATAGCCAGAAAGCAGAAATTTCCTATAAGAACTCTTGGATTTCTAGACTCCGTGTGCTATCTTCAGAGTGCTTGCTGACTCAAAGTCGGTTTGATCATAGCTCCCTCAGCCATCTTAACCCCCCCTCATTTCGGCGGCCGTGCTTCATCATCATTACTATCAACATCCACAGCAGATCCCAAAGAAGCCTTCGGGAGTGAGTATTTCTCCTCAGCCTGGTCCCTCTCAAGCTATCCCTGTTTTTATCCCCTTTACTTCTAGAGTGCTGGGGTGTGTGCATGTTATATTCATATGTGTGCCATCTTTCCCCATTTGTAATTAATAAATATTTAGACTTCAATTGGAGAAGCTCGCCTCTGTGTCTTCTATTGAGGGATCTCTTAGTCTTCTGGTATACATAATGGTACACAATCTCACGGGGTGTTGTTAGGGCCCCACTCTTGAATATTTTGAGCTAATTATAAATTCCCCCATTTAGATCCTTCTTAACAATAGCCTAGATTTCATGACTCTGTTACTTAAATGTTAGTGTGTTTTTTTTTTACTCATTCAACATCAATATAGTTTGGATTTGTCTTATAGTGTAGCTAATCCAAATCTGCAATCAAAATGGTTGATCAGACAGAGAACTGCTAGTGTGAGATAGTTTTAGAATGCAATATATACACTATCTTGCATCTTATGGTTCAGAAGCAGTATTCTGCCCTGCAGTAGAGTTTTTCCCAACTTGCTTACATGCTGTGCAAAACTCAATCTGCCCTGCAATATAGCTTTTCCCAACTTGCTTACATGCTGTGCAAAACTCAATATACCACTGCCAATTTCAGCTCCTAAGACTCCCACACATAATAAATGGTTAGTTAGAATTGGATTATATGTGCTACTGGTTTGATCCAAACTGTATTTATGTTGGATGAGCTATATGCTTCATTGACCAGAGGGCCATTCCTCTTTACTTTGGATCCTCTGAAAAGCTTCATCATAGCCATCATGTTGAATAATCAGAAGAGAGGTTACCTTTGGGCTATGTTGTTTTGTTTTGCATTTTGCTATTTTGTGATGCACTTTACCAAATTTTAAAGCTATCTAAACCTGTTTTCAGCACTTGGTGGTAAATGGAGGGGTGGTAGAAGCTTCGGGGCTGGTGGGAATCTCTTTACCTCCTGCAGCCTGCATGAGGTCTCTGGACTATGCAATCCCTGACTTACAGAAACAACAGAAGTTCTGTTGCAGAGTTACAAATTACATGGCAAGGTTAACTTCCTTGGCACATCTGTAAACAAATCCTTACCTTGTTGAAATGGAGGGTTCATTGCCACAGCTATTCTACCTCTTAATAACTGTTCCTAAAGGAAGACTTTGAAAAGGTACAAACAGTACAAAAATTGTAAATCTTAACACTCTTAAAATGTAGTCTATAGTTAATAAGGAGATTTATGGTTTCAGCTTCTTTGGGGAATGACTATGAATCAACAATTTGTTTCTGTGCTAAAGAAATAAAAGCAAAACAAGCTGATTGAATGACAGTGCTGTTAAGACATGGGAAATCTGCTTCTTGCTTCCACCATTTTTTCTAAATTAAAACTCTTACAAAACTTTCTTCAAATCTGTGTTTTCTTTGATAAAGGACACACACACACACACACACACACACACAAACGTTAAGCTAGCCATTATTTCTGGATGCCCTGTTGGGATTCTGGGACTGTGAATGAAATTCTCTATGCAGTGCAGAGCTCATAAGACAAAAGCGCCATCTTCAAT